TTGAAAATACCTCATCACAGAAAAAATATGAACACAGTTTTAGAGTATGGAAAGTCACTGCAGTGAAACCACTAATTGAAATTAACATTTCTAAAATAAAACCAATAAGTAACACATCAATTGGTGTTTTAGGAAATAATGGGTAAGCACGACATAATTTTCACCTTGCATTAAGATATGTCAGGTCACATAAGTATAATTTTCTTGCATACTAATGGTTAAAAAAATGAACTGATGTATCCTGCTACACTTTATGGGTTTTACAAAACAGGCCTTTATACTTATTCTAAATAAGTTTGTCTTGAACTCAAATATATCCTGTTTTCATAGGCATCATTGTGTTGATGCAAAAAAAATTACTGGCTTAACAGATAAAATAACTAGATCTGATTAATACAAAATATTTTAGTTGTACTGAGTGGCCAATTGCGAAGATTAGATTTATATTGGGTGCTTGAATAGTATACACAACTCCTACTAGTGAGTTAACAAAAATGATGTACCTGTATAAAATATTTTCTTCATAAGCACTGCAGACACACGCACACACACCCATGCACATATACACAACTATGACAAATGTTCAGGGAAATGAATTGTGCAATGTGATGAGCACTGACACAGTTTCGGTTCCACTGTTATTATCCTCCTCCTCCTCCTTGCAGTATAAAAGAAAAAGCTCTAATTTCAGTAGATACTTTTAACCAGTTCACTCTAATTTACTACGCATTTTAGAAATAAACCCAATACTTACAGCAATGTACTGCAGAGTATTATTCACAATCTTTGTGAGAAAACGTTAATTGTTAATGTAACAATTAAAGTAAAAGTAAAGCTGTCCCACTATGCACCATGTAGGCACTGGGGGGGAGAAGGTATAGCTCCTACTCATTCTTGACCTCGGCACTAGATAGGGGTGAGTGGTCAGCATCACACACCGGCCGCGCTTTACCCCTGGGAAAGGACCCCGGTACCCATTGGATAGGAGGCTGGGTGGGCCCCAGAGCGAGTCTGGACACAGAGTCTAGAGGAAAAATCCTTTGTCCCCATCAGGGATCAAACCCCAGTCGTCCAGTCCGTAGCCAGTCACTTTAACAATAACGCGTGACAATGATTTACATCTGTTTCTACTAAAAGCATTCCTTCAAAATAAATTCCACACAAAAAAAACTGGTTTAAAATGAAATGTATATAATAAATGACAGTTCCATAGAGTATTTCCTGAAAGTCACAAAAAGTAATGTTTGTGCCTGGCTTAGAATGACCACATTCTAGTGTTGTGTTGCATTAACAAACTTGAGACAGTAAACAGTTCCTTAATTTATGTTACACAGTTTTGTTCCAAGAAACCTTCCTGGCACTGTTTTAATGTAATGCAACCACACTACATGGTCATTCTATTCAGTTTTTAGATCTGCACAGTCTTCTACCCTTACATTTTTTAACATATGAATTTTTGCGGTTAACATGCACAGCTATCATACCATTTAATGACTGAATAATGCTTCACCACATGAAGTACCTAAGATATCCATAACATCACAAAACAGTGACACCAAGAGATTTGTGATGATGGGATTACATTAAATGGTAAGATCACATATCTGTTCAGCAGTTTTCTTTTTATATTCAAGTGAAACACTAGGTTTTAACACGAGAAATATTTTAGTTTCAAACACTGCCATATTAATGAATTTGTTTGAAATGTGTTACCAGCCAGGTCAAACAATATTCACATCCACAAAGCTAAGGGTACTAGAACTATGCACTTCAAAATACAGAAAAATATGCCTAATTCAGCCACCCTCCCCCATCAAAAAGTAGTAGTATGTACAAATTCAATATTACACCAAATAATAGCATAAAGTAGACCATCAAATATTATGACCTCTCTTCCAGCTTAAAAATTTGTCTTACAAAATTTATGAAGATGTATTTATTTTGTTTTAGAGAGAAATAGAAACATTGCAACAAATATCATGTGACGCACAGTTCTAGTTAATTACCACAAAGCTTATGTACAAAATTTAAAGAGTGCCAGGAAGATTTATAAGTGTTAAGTATAAGGAAATTTCATCTCTTTACAATATAGGCAATATAAGGCTCCATATATTATTGTATTCATCAATTAAATAATGATTAAAACACAACACAATAACCTACAACTATCATTTGGTTCAACTGCAACAAATTTTACATGCCATAATGAAATGCTGTACCTTCATAAACAAATTCTTTATTCTGGGTACGCTGTTAAAATTCTACTCTTTAATATGGATGCCAGTACTTGACATTCAGATACACTGCAAAACTAAATTAATTGCTTACATTTTTATTTGACCATGTTATAACATTACCAGTGTTCAAACAAAATACCTATTATAAGTAATTTTCCCAGAAAAAGTCAATAAGACTAGAAAACTTAAAATGATATGGGAGCTACCAACATCACAAATGGAGATGGAACAGCTCCAACTAAGTAAGAAATGTATCATAATGGTTACTAGGGGTGCATTTTTGATGAACATGACAAGAATACATTTACAAGAATTGTACAAAACACCCTTCCTCCCATCCCCTTGCTGTAACACATGCATTGTTCCCTTATAAACAATGTCACCTTTCCTAATACATTAAAGGGACTGAATGTGTACAATGGCCAAACTTCTCTCAGTGCTGAGGATAATTACAATAATGATAAACTGTTGCTTTTATGCACATACTGAAGGAAAATTTGGTCAATTTACACCAATATAGGGTGATAATTTTATTTGTGAACCCATAAAGTGACATCAAGCAGTCTCTGACTATGCTTCATCATATAAATCAACATTCTTCTGTGACAATGTATCATGGTGTCAGACAACAAAGGTTGTTACTTCTAAATTCTATGTCCGTAGCTCTCTTTCACATTTGAAAAATTTAGTCTCAGGGGTTCACAAATAAAATTATCATCCTGTCAATCTAATATTCTGTGACAAGTTAGCACTATATTGCTTTAATGCTTCCAAAATTGTCCTTCACACTGGGAAATTACTAAAATTTCATATAATAACCAACTAATGTAGTCATCTGGTCTAGCACAAAACAAGGACACAGATGTGAATCCTAAATCTATTGCAACAAAGTAAAATATACATGTTGCTATGCACAAAGTGCTCAACAGTAATGTTGTCATCATAACAACAGTCCTGATAATTCTATGTGATGGTAATTAATGTCTTGGAAACATGGAAGGGATCACTACTACGTGAGGACAATTAAAAAGGTCATGCGCTAAATAAAGGCTGCATTGTGCTGAATTCTCTAAAACAGTACAATAAAATGACACAGTAATGCCTAAGTTAACTATTATGAATTTCAAATGTAGATTTTCCCATCATCTATCAACCTGTACAAAATTGAAATAATGCTAGATAATGACAAGTTTGTATTTATTATATCAGTAACAATAATTATTTTCCATGATACTGATATTTAAAGTTCAAAATCAATACAATATATAATGAAATGTAAATAGTGATGGGAAAGAAAGAATAAATTATCCAAAGCAATGGGTTACTTGGTTTCAACACAGCAATTAGCCAAAACTTCATAAAAAAATAAACACCAAAATGTTTCACATTGATACAATAATTATGTATGCTGGTATACTACCACATACAGTTTTCTTCAATCATGTGAAGTGCACATCATTCAGAAAGTTCTGATATGCCAAACCAAGTTCAAATCAGAGCTGATAATATATTACAAATGATGCCAAATCCTCTTGTTCACATTAAAATTTTCAATACTACAATTTTGGGCATGTGTATATATATATATATATATACACAAATAAACATCCATTCTTGCAAGAATAAATCATAACAATCACACCTTACTAAAATACTCATCACAGTCAATCTAATCTGTATACAAATTTAATTTTAATCCACAATGTGAATAGGGGAAAAGTTGTGTGTGAACATATGAAACTATATAGTTTATTTCATTTTCTGTTGCTGGCATATTTTATTCTTACAGCAATATATGTATTTCATTAACATGCATAGACTTATTCTATATCAACTGTGCATATGGCAACATTATATCAATTTTACCTAAATGACTATTAACAACAGCCCCTCCCACTGTGAAAATCAGGTAGCATGAAAAATCAAACAACAAAATACACTACATGTGTAATATGACAATTCAAGACTGTTAGGTATGACAATGTACTACCTCATGGTTGGTAAACAAAACTGAGCAGAGATTAGGTTCTTCATAACGAATCTAAAAAGTACATAACGTACTAAACTTTCAAACAGTGAACAACAAAATAAAAATCACTATCGAAAAATAACAGAAAAAGATAGAAGAAACAGAAGAAACTCAACACTGCTTTTAAGCTATTACTTTTCAAAACAATAATCCAACCAGGGATTCATAATCACAATTCTTTCAGTCCTACAATTTTTATAAACATTTTTTCACGTTATTTTGATCTGTGTAGTACAAATTTCCACAATTTTCCATCACTGGCAAGATTACCTATTCACTAAGTACAAATCTGCTTAGCTATATGTATACACAATACAGTACTTAAGAATGATGCAAGCATTGATATATAAACTGCAGCAACTCAAGTTTTGTTTGTATTACAAATTACATCACATCTTCCATAACATTCATACAGACACACATACAAAATGACACGTATCAAAATCAATTTTTATCATTCATATGTGAAGCTGCCCCATAATGCACAACAAGAAACAAAGCA